TGGCTGGCTGGAGGTCGGCAGCCGGCGCGAGCGACCTCCCCAGGCAGAGGAGTTTGGGGTGCGGCGGGGGGTGCAGGGGGACGCGTGCCCTGGGCACGTGGCACCGCCGTAGCCATAGAGAACTTGCACTGATTTGCTCCCCCTACACAGGCGCGGGAGGGGAGCATATGGGCCGGGTAATTAGGCCGTGATGATTTTTTTTCGTTTCAGCAGCCCCCTCAGCCCTGCCCACACACACGTCGCACATCCAGGAGCCGAGGAACATGGTGCCTGCTTTGCAAGCTTGTCCACTCTTGGAAAGTGGCTGAACTCTGACCTTTGGTTTGGCCAACGTCACACATTCCCTGCCTCTAAGACCTCCTAATGATACTCTTGCCTGAGCGTGTAAGAAAGCACGTCCTAATTTAATCTCACCATAAATTAAAGCTGGTATGGCTCAGAAGTGAAACAGGAGAGGTAAGAGGTTCCCTGCAGGATCAGCTAGCTGGAGTTAGATGAAAAGACGTTAACAAATCTGAAAGATGAAGCCGATCTTTCCTTTCGTCTGCCAGCTGGGAAATAGGCACAGAGAAATTTTGGTGGGATTAATTTCCTCTGGTTTCAGGCAAATAACAGACTTGGCAATGCTAGCCGGTCTCCGTGATCAGAGACTGACCATCCTCCTCCTCATGACCTCTCATGAAGGCAGCGCCTTGCTCCCCTTCCCCATCACGGACCCCGTGCAGCTCAGCTCTGGGGCAAGAGGGGGTGCCCAGGGCAGGGCAAAGCCCATCTCCCCAGAACACCGGTGCTTGCCCTGCTTTGGCTTTTGGCTCTAGCCATGTGTCTCCTTCAAAAGATTCGCTGTGGAGATGCAGAAACAGAAGTGGAGGAGCCCGGCCCCTTGTGCGAGCAGGTTGGGGGGTTCAGGCGTTTCAGTCATTTGGGCCTTTTGCCCAGTGTGAAATTGAAGCTTCCCTATAATTAGGGCATCTGACATGAAAATAAATGCCTTGTTTGGTTTGGGGGGTTATTTTCCGGTCTGATTTGGAGCTAGGACTAAAGAGCAGAGAGTAGTTGCTATGCCTCACAGTGATTTGTTGTGCACCATCACCCCTCCCAGAACCTAATCTGCAAAGCAGGCACAGCGTGCCAGGCACGTACAGGGAAGAGACAGCTATGGGCTGGGTTTCTCTTTCTTTCTTCTTTTTTTTTTAAGTTGGGCATAAATGTGCCTTGTGATTTGGCTCAAGCGTGTATGTTCAGAGGAGCTCACGTCATGCAGATACCAGGAAAGCGCCGCCTCCCTCATGCAAGCTGCGCGTGGATGTGTGGAAGCCAGGGCTGAGCATTAATTTGAGCGTGGATGGAGGATTTCCTCCTCAGAGCTCCTGGGGGAGAGCCACGCGGGCCTGGGAACCCGGCATGGGCTGCAGCAATTCTGTATTTGGCATCATTTCTGGGCAGCGCAGCGCTGGCCTGGCATACTTGCTAAATACTTTCAAGATTCATCATCAAGTTGTGCTGTAGCAACAATTCACTCTCATATGAAGCCTTTTAGCTAAGGGTCTGAATGTGTTTTAGTTAAGACCTGTGTCAATACCTGAGTCACAGATTATAGATTTTAGAACAACCCGGAACTAAACGTCAAAGAAAAGCAAATTTGTTTTTCTGTTTTCCTGAGTGAAATGAAGTATTTTGTTTCAGCCAAAATAATTTTGCTTGCATTTGGAATTTCACATTTTTTTTAAAAGACAAAAATTAAGTAAGTTAAGTCTTAAAACCAAAAATAAAGAAATGCCATATAAAAATTCCACCAAAATGAAGCATTCCAGCGTTTTCACACTTCCTTCCCATAACCTTTGCCCAAAGCTCATCATCTGGCGCACGTCTGCAAATAGTTTTGGTCAGCTCTGTTTCGCAGCATTTTGAAAAACCTAATATTTTATGAAAACTTTTGCTGCGCCCTGCGCTCAGGACGGTTGGTGGGCAGGCTTCGGTATTCTCATTTACAGACGGATGAAGCTGGGCAAAGATAAGGGAAGTAACGAACATTAGAGCACAAGATGAGTCATGGGCCGTTCTGGGAACAGTACCCACATCTTCTTGTGTGAATGCATGTCACAGCTCCCGGAAACAAAACGACGGAGAATTAACGAAGCATGTTTTAATGAGGAATTAACGCAGAGAAGGCCAAGCGCCATCCACCTTTGTGAACATGTGAAAAGGTACACAGGGGTGGATCAAAGAGCATAGGCACCACTGAGATTTCCCCCGTTTAACCTCCCGCTTGCCAAAAAAACCTGGCTGTTCAAGAAATCAAGTGGGAGAACAAGTTTAACCCCTACAAGGGAAAGCCTGGAGCTGACTGACTGCTCAGGGGAACATTTTTAGAAGTTGCACTTTCCCAAGTGCTCAGGGCAGAACCATACGTTACCGCCTGTTTGTGCCCTCCACTGCTCGTGGGAAGCCAACTGCGGCCTCGCAGGAGAGAAAAAAGTCTCTCTCTTAGGAAGCCCCTTTGCCTTCCCTGAGGCAGAAGCGTTGTGCTCCCACACTCCCGGACCCCATTCGGACCCTCTGCACACC